CATCTTATATATATTGTCGCCCCATCTGAGATTAATTCTCTTTCTATTAGTCTGTTAAGATGTAGTTGCCAAGTGGCGAAATAGAAACTCGGATATCCCTTTAGATCGTATAAACATTTGAGGGCGAAATCCTGGTATTTCTAATCTCCCGGGATGTGTTGCTAGTCCATCATAGGTCACTCCCCACCCCACCCCCCAAGCAGTTGTGTCAGACACTACCTCTCAGTACAAGGCCTGTGTTTGGCTGATGGTTCCATATTGGATTTTTTTATGGCCTGTCTGATCATTTGTTTATTTCCTTCTTTTATTGTTAATTTATATGCAGTTAACCCAACTCTTTCTTTTCACCCAACGACCCCATCCCTCCCCTCTTTTACCACTGCTTAGTCAGTGTGATGGGTGGCCTGGATGTCTTTGTGTGACAGCTCAACGCTCCATATAGCGATGGGCAGTTCATAATTGTGTCTATATCCTTATCAAGTGTATCAAGACTATGTCAAGTGTATTAATTTTAGTGTATCGGACGACCACAAAATTTTCCTGAAATCATGACCACCCCGGCATGAAATTTTCGTGAAATCACGACCACCCCGGCATCACGGAAATTTTCGTGAAATCACTACCATCCAGACATCACGGAAATTTTCGCGAAATCTCGACCATCCCGCCATCACAGAAATTTTCACAAAATCTCGACCACCCCAGCATCAAAATTTGTTATGAAATCTGAACCACCCAGCATCATGCAAATTTTCAAGAAATCTTGACTGCTGCGGCACAAAATATCATAACTTGTATCAAGTTTATCAAGTGAATCAAGTGTGTTGATTGTATCAAGTGTATCTAATAGACAAACAGCCCTAAACCAATCACAGTGCGAGTTTACTCAACAAGTAGTATTATGATATTTACCCTCAGTTACCCTCATTACCCTCATTACCCTTGTACCCTCAGTTACCCTCAGTTACCCTCAGTTACCCTCAGTTACCCTCAGTTACCCTTGTTACTCTCAGTCCAATGAGCTCTGAACCAAATGTACTCATTATTTTTTGTGGTTATTTTCGTTGTTATAGGAAATTGGTAAAGAAAGTTCTTTGTCAAACCGTGTGAAGGTTTTAAAGGAACTTTGTGACTTTCTGGCCAGTCGACGAGTAGAAGATGTAAGTTTATATTCTGAGTGCTATCGTTCTGACAGTTTGTTACAGTAGTTTGTATAGTTGAAAGAGGACTTTGGGGCTGGGTGACCAGTAATGAACTACTATAACATCCTATTTAAGGGAAGTAATAAAATAAATTACTCGACCTGTAGTTGCTTTCAATATTAAAGCAACTTAGATCAACTACAGCTGAACCCACACTAAGGGCCACCTCTCTAGCGGCCACCTCTCCTCAACGGCCAGGATTTTTCGTCCCAATCGTACGTCTATCCATACTTTTCACTCTTATTGAAACCTCCTGGCAACGGCCATCTCTCCACAACGACCAGTTAATTCCGCCCCAGGGTGGCCGTTGTAGAGAGGTTCAACTACAGTATAAATTGACTTTCCCCTCTGAATATGTTGTTACAGTTAGTCTACAGTGAACTCTCTCTAAGACAGACAAACCTAGGGACAAGCTCTAGCTGTCCGCCTTAAAGGGGTGTCCGCCTTATCGAGAGTTTTGTTACAGAAAATTAGAGAAACTTGATTCGGTCGGACGCAGCCAACCATGTCTGCCTTGGAGAGGTGTCCGCCTTACAGTGTTGTCTGCTTTGAGAGAGTTGACTGTATTGCTGCTGAGATTTTTGTAGTGTAAATTTATTATGCCATGAAAATGTCAGTAACACTGATGAGCGGGCAAGCTCACCATCAATTACTCGACCGTTCAAAACTCCTCTGAGCATTTTGCAAAATATTTAATCCATCAATAATTATTATACATGTCGTACCTTATATGGAAGGTGTTGTTGACTCGCAGTAAAATCAAACTCTTCCATATATGGTATGACATGTATGATCAACAGAAACCTTTTGCAAACTGCTCAGAGGAGTTTTTATTAAAATAATGGTCACGTAACAGTGAAATCAATGGTAAGGAACTTACATTTTTTTCATGCTTCAAAGAATAATAATAATATTATTGTTTGTTTGTAGCATGCTGTTGAAGCAGCATGGGCTGCAGTTGATGATCTTCTCAGTTCACACAGTCCTGTGGAGGCACGGCATGTCACTCTCCAGTTTCTAACTGTGATGATTTCTGGACAGGTAAACTAGTATTTTAGCCATGGCTTGCAATTTGATACTGAGTGAGTGTGGGAGATACAGTGGTCTATTGTGGTGTGGCGGCGTTACTATTGGACTTATGGATTGAGTGGTCCGGGATTGAGCACTGTCCAGGGCGATTGTGTAGTGTTCATGGGCGAGACAATTAACTGTCACAGTGCCTCTCTCCACCCAGGAGTATAAATGGGTACCAGCGGATTGTCAGGGCAACGTGACAAAAATGCTGATGGGGCTACTTGTGATGGACTAGCATATCACACTCCTAGTCACTTCAATTATGCTATGGAAACTGGAGTTAAGTGCTGGCCCGATAAGCTACCTGGTAGGCTTGTAGACAGACTTACTAACTAAGTATTCTGACTTATTAATGTCTCCTACAAATTAAATGAGTTTGTTTTTAATTACAACAACAACAACAACAACTTTATTTACCCATTAATTACATAAAAGAATTTAAAGAAAAAAACAAGTTGAAATATTTATGGGTACTGGCTCCCTGAAATAACTATAAAGCTAAAAATGCCAGGGAGCCAGATTACATATACTAAATTAAATTACTAGGCCGGAGAGGTTAAAAACGTACACACAGACATACACACACAAACACGCACACAAAATATTCTACCTACTTATAGCATAATAACATAATAGTATACACAATAGCAATAAATATTAATAAATATAGATATTTACAGAGAGGAGAGAATATTCTACCTACTTTACTTTACTACTACCTTAGAAGATATTTTGTGATCTGGTGTTTTTTATATTGGTTTTAAATCAAGATTCTTTCACCTGACTCAAATGAGTGTCACTCGTTGGCTGTTTACCTCATGAATATTATTATTAATGGTGAAAGCTCTGCATTTCACACAAAAACTATCGGGCCATTATACCTTCTCATCAAAGTTGTGTTATGATAGGCTGTCTCAATTATTGTTTATTTCACTTTCTGGATGTCCCATGCATACAAGATTGTACAATACATGTACATAACATACAGTATGCAGTAAATTTTCTGTTCATTTTGTTTGTTATAGTTCAACAGACTTGGTATTTTAAGGGCTCATTTCTTCTCTGTTGTGGCTAATCACAAGATCCCTGAAGACATCTCACCCAGGTGAAAGATCATTTAACATATAAATTATTATTTATAGATCTTTAAGAATTATTTGAAACTTCCATATTTCTTGACTACATACATGTAGCTACTTGCACTCTGCACTAAAACTCAGAGACTCTAGTGCAGAGTGTGATGTATATGAATTCACACTTACCCCACAGGTGACATGTAGCAGTCAGGTCCCCCACCCTTCCCCCTCTACCCCATCCTAACCTGATATCTACATATAGCTGTTAAGGACACCATGATGGGTGCAAGTGCAAACCCCCTGGTCCCCAATAGGTGACTACTAGAAAAACATGGGTTTGTGTGGTGCAGTTGTCCACTAGCTAACTCTAACTGCTATTATACCTCTCAACTTTCCCAGCTCATCATAGCTGCTGTGTATATTTTTTAGTCGATGGCTGGGAAAAATTAACATGATTGTTACATTCTCCTGATGATATTAGCAGTCTTCACTATTGTTCAGACTGTCTTGTATTGTATTACAATGTACATATATCAGACATTGTCAAGATCAGTGCATGGCTCTCGTTATTGGTTGTATCTACATTGTTCACCAGAGGACCACACAGTGACACAGCATGAAGAGAAAAAGAAGTGCGATCGGTCAATAAATTTTCAACCGAGTTGGAAGAAAACATAACCCTGGCTGCGATTCAGTGAAGGAAAGATGTACTGTGGAACTTGTGTGGACTCAAACAATAGCGCTGAAAGATTAGCAAATCCGAACTCGGCTTTCGTCACAGGAACAGACAATTTCCGTTTGGACTTTTTTTTATGGCTTTTTTGGGGGGATTAGTGGCTTGTCCTTGTGGGCTAGTGATTTTTTTTACTTACTAGCCCATTGCCTAGTATCCCAAAAAGTTAGTGTTGAGCACTGGATCAGCTAAACCTCTTTGTCTTGTGTATTGATGTAGGTTGGAATTGTTAAAAGCTCTGAGTGATAATGGAAAAGACATCTCATACTTTGAGGAAATGACAGGCAAGGAACTGCTGGTTACAGCATGTACTACTTACTAAGAGCAGAATATTTGAAGGGCTGGGGCATATAACCCATCCTAGTCTATGGTGATTTTTTGGGTCATTTCTTTTCAACAAGTTAATTATAAGTACCTAGGAGCTATGTCACAATATTTTAAGTCATTTTTGGGAAGTGCAAAATCACCTTCAAATTGAAGAAACCCTCAAAATAATAGTTTACTAAGGTAGAAAAACACCAAAGAGGTGATAATAAACCAAACAGGAAACAAGGATGGTTGAGGATGGAGAAGATTAAGACGGATTGTGAACGACAAACTTGAAAAAATTGGCCAATTTTTTCAAGATGCACTGTGACGCAGCTCCTTTAAGGTTTAATTACATATTTACAGTCAAGTGTTAAATAGATACAGCCAAATTGACCCACACTGCTGGAGCTTATCCTGGTTTCTGTAGCATGAAGCTGACTAGGAGTATTGCTACCCCCTGGGTGGGACGCTAGTCCAACACCAGCTTACCCACCTGCATTTTGTTATGTAGCTTGCCCTAGCAGTTCGCCGGAACCTGTTTAAACTCCCGAGTGGAGAGAGGCATGGTGACAGTTAATAAGTGTCTTGCCCAAGAACACAACACAGTGACCCCAGCCAGGGCTCAAACCTGGACCACTCGATCCGGATTCCAACACCCTAACCAGACGGCCACTGTGTCTCCCACTCAATGGACCTCCAAACTATAAACCTTTTTGAATCATGATTGATCTTATGTAATGTATCTTGCCTGGCATTGTCTTCTAGCTTGTTCTATAATGATATTAATTTTAACAGGTCCTTTTCTGTTATCATGGATGCCACAAGTTATGCAGAAAGGAAGGTCAGTTTACAGTTTTCATAGAGTGATATACCGTAAACTCTCTCTAAGGCACTCGGGAACAACTCTAGCTGTCCGCCTTAGAGAAATTCGGCCTGGATCATCAAGCCAACCATGTCCACCACCACTATGACCACCACCACCACCACCATGACAACTGCGACCACCACCATGACCATGGCGACCACAACCATGACCACCACAACCACCACCATGACCACTGCAACCATCGCTATGACAACTGCGACTATCACCATGACCACCATGACCACCATGATGACCGCAATGACCACCACGACCACCATGACTACTGTGACTACTGCCATGACCACCGTGACCACTGCCACGACTACCATAACCACCTCACTGACTACCACCATGACCACCACCATGACTACCATTATGACTAACATGACCACCATGACCACCACCGTGACTACCACCATGACTACCATGACTACTACCATGACTACCACCATGACCACCACCATGACTACCATAACTACCAGCAAGACAACCACCTTGACTACCATAACTACCAGCATGACAACCACCATGACTACCACTATGACTAACATGACCACCATGACTACCACCATGACCACCATGACCACCATGACCACCATGACCACCACCATGACCAATGACCACCATGACTACCACCATGACCACCACCATGACTACCATGACCACCATGACCACCATGACTACCATGACTACCATGACCACCATGACTACCATGACCACCATGACCACCATGACCACCATGACTACCATGACTACCATGACCACCATGACTACCATGACCACCATGACCACCATGACTACCATGACCACCATGACTACCATGACTACCATGACCACCATGACTACCATGACCACCATGACCACCATGACTACCATGACTACCATGACTACCATGACCACCATGACCACCATGATTACCATGACTACCATGACTACCATGACCACCATGACTACCATGACCACCATGATTACCATGACCACCATGACCACCATGACTACCATGACCACCATGACCACCATGACCACCATGACCACCATGACCACCATGACTACCATGACCACCATGACCACCATGACTACCATGACTACCATGACCACCATGACCACCATGACTACCATGACCACCATGACTACCTTGACTACCATGACCACCATGACTACCATGACTACCATGACCATCATGACTACCATGACTATCATGATTACCATGACTACCATGACTACCATGACTACCATGACTACCATGACCACCATGAACACCATGACCACCATGACCACCATGACTACCATGACTACCATGACCACCATGACCATAACTACCAGCATGACAACCACCATGACTACCACTATGACTAACATGACCACCATGACTACCACCATGACCACCATGACCACCATGACCACCATGACCACCACCATGACCAATGACCACCATGACTACCACCATGACCACCACCATGACTACCATGACCACCATGACCACCATGACTACCATGACTACCATGACCACCATGACTACCATGACCACCATGACCACCATGACTACCATGACCACCATGACCACCATGACCACCATGACCACCATGACCACCATGACCACCATGACCACCATGACCACCATGACTACCATGACCACCATGACTACCATGACTACCATGACCACCATGACTACCATGACCACCATGACCACCATGACTACCATGACCACCATGACCACCATGATTACCATGACCACCATGACTACCATGACTACCATGACCACCATGACTACCATGACTACCATGACCACCATGACCACCATGACTACCATGACCATTATGACTACCTTGACCACCATGACCACCATGACTACCATGACCACCATGACTACCATGACAACCATGACTACCATGACCACCATGACTACCATGACCACCATGACTACCATGACCACCATGACTAGTCATGGTAGTCATGGTGGTCATGGTAGTCATGGTGGTCATGGTAGTCATGGTGGACATGGTAGTCATGGTGGTCCACCATGACTACCATGACTACCATGACCACCATGACCACCATGACCACCATGACTACCATGACCACCATGACTACCATGACCACCATGACCACCATGACCACCAGTACCACCATGACTACCATGACCACCATGACCACCATGACCACCATGACCACCATGACCACCATGACTACCATGACCACCATTACTACCATGACTACCATGACCACCATGACTACTATGACTACCATGACCACCATGACTACCATGACCACCATGACTACCATGACCACCATGACCACCATGACCACCATGACTACCATGACAACCATGACTACCATGACCACCATGACTACCATGACCACCATGACTACCATGACTACCATGACCACCATGACTAGTCATGGTAGTCATGGTGGTCATGGTAGTCATGGTAGTCATGGTGGTCATGGTAGTCATGGTGGTCCACCATGACTACCATGACTACCATGACTACCATGACCACCATGACCACCATGACTACCATGACTACCATGACCACCATGACTACCATGACTACCATGACCACCATGACTACCATGACTACCATGACCACCATGACTACCATGACTACCATGACCACCATGACTACCATGACTACCATGACCACCATGACCACCATGACCACCATGACCACCATGACCACCATGACCACCATGACCACCATGACTACCATGACTCCCTGACCACCATGACCACCATGACCACCATGACCACCATGACTACCATGACCACCATGACCACCATGACTACCATGACCACCATGACCACCATGACCACCATGACCACCATGACCACCATGACCACCATGACCACCATGACCACCATGACCACCATGACCACCATGACTACCATGACCACCATGACCACCATGACTACCATGACTACCATGACTACCATGACCACCATGACCACCATGATTACCATGACTACCATGACCACCATGACTACCATGACCACCATGACTACCATGATTACCATGACCACCATGACTACCATGACCACCATGACCACCATGACCACCATGACTACCATGACCACCATGACCACCATGACTACCATGACTACCATGACCACCATGACCACCATGACTACCATGACCACCTTGACTACCTTGACTACCATGACCACCATGACTACCATGACCATCATGACTACCATGACTACCATGATTACCATGACCACCATGACCACCATGACCACCATGACCACCATGACTACCATGACCACCATGACTACCATGACCACCATGACCACCATGACCACCATGACCACCATGACCACCATGACCACCATGACCACCATGACTACCATGACCACCATGACCACCATGACTACCATGACTACCATGACTACCATGACCACCATGACCACCATGATTACCATGACTACCATGACCACCATGACTGCCATGACCACCATGACTACCATGATTACCATGACCACCATGACCACCGTGACTACCATGACCACCATGACCACCATGACCACCATGACCACCATGACCACCATGACTACCATGACTACCATGACCACCATGACCACCATGACTACCATGACCACCTTGACTACCTTGACTACCATGACCACCATGACTACCATGACCATCATGACTACCATGACTACCATGATTACCATGACCACCATGACCACCATGACCACCATGACTACCATGACCACCATGACCACCATGACTACCATGACCACCATGACCACCATGACCACCATGACCACCATGACCACCATGACCACCATGACTACCATGACCACCATGACCACCATGACTACCATGACCACCATGACCACCATGACTACCATGACCACCATGACCACCATGACCACCATGACTACCATGACCACCATGACCACCATGACCACCATGACCACCATGACTACCATGACCACGATGACTACCATGACCACCATGACTACCATGACCACCGTGACCACCATGACCACCATGACCACCATGACCACCATGACCACCATGACCACCATGACTACCATGACCACCATGACCACCATGACCACCATGACCACCATGACCACCATGACTACCATGGCTACCATGACTACCATGACTACCATGACCACCATGACCACCATGACCACCATGACCACCATGACCACCATGACCACCATGACTACCATGACCACCATGACCACCATGACTACCATGACCACCATGACCACCATGACCACCATGACCACCATGACTACCATGACCACCATGACCACCATGACCACCATGACCACCATGACCACCATGACCACCATGACTACCATGACTACCATGACCACCATGACCACCATGACCACCATGACCACCATGACCACCATGACCACCGTGACCACCATGACCACCATGACTACCATGACTACCATGACCACCATGACTACCATGACCACCATGACCACCATGACCACCATGACTACCATGACCACCATGACCACCATGACTACCATGACTACCATGACTACCATGACCACCATGACTACCATGACTACCATGACCACCATGACCACCATGACCACCATGACTACCATGACCACCATGACTACCATGACCGCCATGACCACCATGACTACCATGACTACCATGACTACCATGACCACCATGACCACCATGACTACCATGACTACCATGACCACCATGACTACCATGAGTACCATGACCACCCTGACTACCATGACTACCATGACTACCATGACTACCATGACAACCATGACTACCATGACCTCCATGACTACCATGACTACCATGACCACCATGACCACC